TGGGTAGAAACAGCATGGAAATGGTGTTGTGCTGTACGAATATGGGGGTGGGGGCGGGGGTGTTAACTTGATCACTGGGTGAAGGTGGCCTCCGGCCAATCTTATTTCTCCTGTAAGAAGTCCTCTGATCCAAAGTGGGCGGAACGGAGAACATTGGTGAGCGAGCTGCAAACCATCTTTTCCACACTCCGCTTACATGGCCTCTGTGCCGGGCGTGCACTGAGCAACCCTTCACAGACCCAGACGTCTTTGCCGGGTCTCCATTTTGGCACTGGGCACATTACCATGACCGCTTACGGGATGGTGCCTCCGAAGACGAGCATGAGCCCGGCACACAGTTGTGTCTCTAGACACTGGAGAGATGGATGAAAGCGACAGGCCAGGGAAGTAGAGGGTGTGAGAGGAGGGTGGAAGAGGACAAGCTGAGCCTGACGACAGATTTCGGGGAGGCCCTCTTCCTGCCACAGAAAGTGGCTGCATCTGGAGAAGCTTCCCGGTGTCCGGCCCGGCCCAATCCCGGTTCGGGCAGAGGGGCAGTGTTTCAGGACTGGGTTATTCCTGGTGATCTGGGTTGTGCATGGAGGCCAGATCCTAGGGTCCCTACATTTAAGGCAGCCATTTCCGGGGTTCCTGCCGTCGCATCAGGAGGAAGGCGGAAAGAGAGGTGATGTCCTTCAGAGAACTGGGTACTGCTGTACTCAGTGCTGACGTGGAAGGGAGGGGAGGGGAGGGGAGGGGAGGGGAGAGGGGGCCACTGAATGACTCACCAAAGCTAGGGGTGACCCATCTGTGCGAAACCCCAAGAGGCAAGGCTCACAGGAGCTCACCTGCTGATCGCTTATGTTGTCACGTCAAGGGAAGTGGCTCAAAGTGACCAGAAATCTGAGGCCAAAGTTCTAGGTGTGGAGAAGCTATTTTGAGCAAGGAGCTCGTCAACAGAGCCGGTGTCGTGGTTCAAATTCAACACAACGGTGGATGCTACGAAGGAGACTCAGGGAAGCAAAGGGCAAAATATTAAGACTAAATTTTAAATGGAAAAAGGTAAAATCTAACTAGATCCAAATTTAAAAAAAATTGTTTTTTATCAATTAGAAATAACAAAAGTAGACACAAAATAAACAAGTTTCTAAAAGACCAAGCCTCCGACTAAAACAGAAAGCCAATTTGCTCAGGAAACTCATACTTCCTGCCCACTTTGTTTGCTTGGAAAACACGGGAGAGTAGACCATCTGGGGTAATTAATTCTGGAGTAAAAATGTCAGAACCTGGGTAAACAAAGATTAGCGCCAAGATAAAAACAATAAAAGGAACCAGGAACTAAAAGAGAAATCACATTTCAATAAATTCAAAGGGGTAGAGTTCCGGACAAAATTCAGAAGACGATTCCCGGGATTCTGCCATCGGTTAACGTTCTGAACAAGACTCTTCTCAGGATTCTTGCTCCTTCATATCTAAAAGCATCTCAGGTTTTAAACGGACTTCTGTAAAATGTCCGCAAATCGAGCGGAAAGGTGTGTAAATAACATTTAAAAACAAACCCTTCGAAACCTCCCCCTTAAAATTCTACAACCCGAAGCCACGGAACAGGAAAAGGTTAAGGTAACTGTGCAGAGGTAATAGCCTACGCAGTGACCGAACTTGGCTTTGGCAAACCCTGCTTTCAGGGTCTGTTGCACTGATGTCCAAAAACCATGCAGAAGAGCTGGAAAGCAAGTGTGTGAGTCAGGTTCTCAGGCTCCTTCCCTTCCTCCTCCAAAGCTTAGCTTCACAAAACCACTGGGAACAGTGTCTTCTCTGAGAGCTGCAGAAAAGATTTTATTCCCCGACCTAAAGCTAGTTCCGGTAAAGTGGTACATGGAGAACATTCGCTAAAGCATCTGTCTCTGAGTCTGCCATCTTCCCAGAAGTGGGGACATGAGCCCCGACGGGGAGCTCAGGGGTTGGGGTTCTCGGAGAGGCAGGAAGCACAAACGTACAAGAGGCCAGTTTCCACATTACACAGAGTCAGAGCTGGAAGAGAACTCTAATATGAGCTGGTTCAATTGTCTCTTTTATGTTTTTTTAATGTTTATTTATTTGAGAGAGAGAGCAAGCGCGAGTGTGTGTGTTTGTGTGTGTGTGCGCGCGCGCACGCGTGCGCGCGCAGGGGAAGAGAGAGAGAATCCCAAGTAGGCTCCACGCTGTCAGCACAGAGACAGACACGCGGCTCGAACTCACGAACCGTCAGATCGTAACCTGAGGTGAAATCGAGAGTCGGACACTTAACCAACTGAGCCATCCAGGTGCCCCTAGTCTCTCTCTGGTTGAGGAAACCAAGTCCTGGCAAATGTAAGTGACTAGGGCCAGTGCCTAGACTGGCCGCCAGCCTTTCTTCCCACCATCCCGCATACGACAAGTGCAATGGGAAAATTCACAGGCCACAGCACCAAAGCTACACGTTGTGTACAAGTTAGGACCACACCCTTTCCCAACTTGCACACCAAGTTTAGAGTCAGGTTTAAGTCATTTTCCCAGAAGCAACGGGTGCCGCTAGCCAGTTGTGAGCAAGGCAGGTGGATTTAAGACCTGACCTTGGACTTGGAAAGACTTGGGTTTGAATTTGGGGCTAGTTCTTAACCTTTCTGAGCATCATTTCCTCCTCTATAAAAGAAAGGAATTAGGTCCTTAAGTTACTTTGCTACTTAAACTTATTCCTTCAGCTTCAAAGCACTTGGTAGAATTGTAAGGATTAAATAACATAATATATTCAAAGCGCTTAGCGTTGCAGCTAAATTGGCATTCAGTCGTGCTTACTATTATTGTAAGCAGGCCTTTACTTCCACAGATTCGTTAGGCAGATTGTCTCTTAATTAAGGAGGTGATGGGGGCCTGACCTGTGGGAATGGAGAGGCGGTAACGGAATTAAGAGACATTTCAGGGTTAGTACACCAGCTATCCACCACTATGTAACAGGCCACCTGCAAATTTAGTAGCTTAAAAATTCATATTTTTCGTATGAATCCGCAATTTGGCCAGGGCCTGTCTCTGTTCCATACGGCGTCATCTGGAGGAAGATCAGTGAGGGGCTGGAGGGTCCTCTTTCCAAGGTGGCTTACTCACACGGTTGGAAAGTTTGTTCTGGCTATTGACTAAGCTTAGCCGGGGCTGAAGGCTGGGGACGCTGGTTCCTTTCCAAGTGAGCCTTTCCACAGGAAGAGCTTGGGCTTCCTTACGGCATAGCGATTGGGATCCAAGAATGAGCATTCCAAAACAATGAGGTGGTATTTTTGTGACTTCATCTCAGAAGACAAATACCACTACCCCTTCTCTATTTTCTCGGTCAAGGCAGGAAGGCAGGTCTATCTAGGCTCTCTCTCTCTCTTTTAAATGTTTATACAGTTTTGAGAGAGAGAGAGAGAGAGAGAGAGCGCAAGCAGGGGAGCAGCAGAGAGAGAGGGAGACACAGAATCCCAAGCAGGCTCCGGGCTCCAAGCTGTCAGCACAGGACCCGACGTGGGGCTTGAGTTCATGAACCGTGAGATCATGACCTGAGCCGAAGACTCAACCAACTGGGCCACCCAGGCGCCCCGACAAAATCTATCTCTTGACGGGGGTCTAGAAGGGCAAGCATTATAGATATAGGTTGCATCCATGTCTGGAAAACATGACCTGCCAACGATTGACGATGGGCAGTGAGGAAGAATGAGTTCCTGGGGAGACTGCAGTTTCTACCTTAGGTGACCCCATGGCGTCATTAATAGAATTCAGGAACGCAGAGGGTATTGCTGAAAGTGTCCAAACAAGGAGGCCATTAGACTGGGGATGGCTCTAACACCTTGGTAGCCCACATAAGCAAACCAAACTTAAGCCAGAGCCAAAGCGCTCAAATCCGGGAAAGTGAAACTTAAGAGCAACCCATCACACGGAGCCCAAATAAGGCAACTGCTTAAGCCCTAACCAATGAAATAACTGTTTCCCTTTGCTTTGGTGACTTCCCTGGAAAAACCTTGCCCCAGCTCCTGTCAGGTGAGCACTTTGGGGTCGGCACTGCTCCACTGAAATCCACGTTTGTGCCAACAAGCTCTTCCCAGTGTATCTTTAACAGCATTTTGGAGCACACGATCTCAGTGGGGATAGGAGCGTAGCAGCGAGGGAGGAATGAATGAGTGACCCCAAGTAGGACAAAACCCACTAGAGTTCCACTTCATGGAAACCAAAAAGAAGGTGGGATGAGAGCCGAAGTGGATTTAACGTCCCAAAGAAGTCAAGATGGTTTGGACTGCGAAGGAGACACGGGCTAGGAAATGGGGGTACCCTGGTGACCTTTGGGAGGGTAAAACATAGCACATACCATTTAGCAGCTGTGATGCTTTCTAGAAACCCTTTCTAATGTTTAAAGCATTTCCACACATGGGAGGAATGCCTTGCTGGAAAATAAGCTTTTGTGTTTTTTTTTTTTTTTTCTCTGTTAAGAGCAGAAGTGAGCGGGGCCCCTCGGTGGCTCAGTCATTTGAGTGTCTGACTCTTGATTTGGGTCCAAGTCATGATCCCAGGGTTGGGCTCTGTGTTGAGTGTGGAGCCTGCTTAATAATTCTTTCTCTCCCTCTGCCCCTCTCTCCTGCTTACTCTCTCTCTCAAAAAAATACATATATAGCAGAAACGAATGGATTAAATATGTAAATGTTCAGACCCGGGACTAGAAAGCTCCCAGAAGAACACACAGAAGAAGTGCTTCGTGACATTGGACTTGGCAGTGATTTCTTGGGTATGACACCAAAAGCACAGACAACGAAAGCAAAAAATAGACAAGGGAGACTACATCAAACTCGTAAGTGTCTGCAGAGCGGAGGACTGAGAAAAAAGGCAAACTACAGAATGGAAGAAAATATCTGATAAAGGGTTAATATCCAAACAATGTAAGCAGCGCCTTCAACTCGAAGCAAAAAAAAAAAAAACCTCCCTAATAGCCCAATTAAAAAAACAGGCCAAGGACTTGAATAGGCATTTCTCCAGAAAGACATACAAATGGTCAACAGGTATATGAGACGATGCCCAACATCACTGGTCACCAGGGAAACGCAGCTGAAGGCCACAAGCAGGTATCACCACACCCCTGTCAGGAATGTTATTATCGATAAAGCCCAAAAGGTAACAAGTGTTGGTGAGCATGCGGAGAAGCTGGAACTCTAGCACACTGCTGGCAGAAATGTAGGACGGTGTAGCCGCCGTGGAAGACAGCATGCAGGTTCCTAAAAAAATTAAATACAGATATAGCATATGCCCAGCAATCCCACTTCTACAGATTTTCTTTTAAATGCTTATTTTTCAGAGACAGAGAGAGAGAGACAGAGAGAGAGAGAGAGAGAGAATGAGAGAGAGACAGAGAAGCAGGGGAGGGGCGGAGAGAGAGGACACAGGATCTGAAGCAGGCTCCAGGCTCTGAGCTGTCAGCACAGGCTGGTCCACCCAGGCGCCCTCACTCCTACAAATTTAACCAAGAGTTGAAATCACGATCTGGAAAAGAGATCTGCACGCCCACGTTCACTGCAGTATTATTCACAACAGCCAAGATGTGGAGACAACTCAAATGTCCACCGATGGATGAATGATAAAGAGAAATGTACTATATACCCGCGGTGGTTTATTCTGCCTCAAAAAGAAGGATCCTGCCATAGGTGACAATGCGGATGAACCTTGAGGGCATTAAGTTTAAATAAGCCAGTCACACAAAGGCAAATACTGCACGATTCTGCTTATGTGAGGTACCCGAAATGGTCACACACAGAGAAGCAGAGGGCAGCACGGTGGTCGCCAGGGATTGGGGGGAGGGGGAGTGGGGGCTGCTATTCAGTGGGGGGATAAAGTTTCAGTTATGCAAGATGATTACATTCTAGAGATCTGTATATCTTGCGTCTAGTTAACGATAGCATATCGCGTGCTTACAAATTTTGTCAAGAGGGTAGATCTCATGTTAAATATTCTTGCTGCCAAAAACAAACCAAAAAAGCTTGCCAAAAAAAAAACCCTAAAAACCCACAAAAAGGCAGAAGTGTACTTGAGCAGAATAGCTTTTGCCACCACACTTCTGAACTCGAGGGTAGGCGAGCTGCAGGGGTGCGCTCGACCTCGAAGGGTGAAGGAGATCCCGAGCCAGTGTTCCAGGGCCAACTGTGGCTTGAGAATGTGGCCACGCATGCCAACAGGCAGAGGGACAGTGGCCAAGGGCTGGGCACTGAGCCCTGTGCCGACAAATACCCATAATGCCCTCTTATAAACCTCATCACAGCTCTGTGAGGTGCGGATTATCGTTCAACAAATACTTAAAAAAATTTTTTTCCAATGTTTATTTTTGAGACACAGAAAGTGAGCGGGGGAGGGGCCGAGAGAGAGGGAGACGGTAGGGTCCGGGCTCTGAGCTGTCAGCACAGAGCTCGATGTGGGGCTCGAACTCACGGACTGTGAGATCATGACCTGAGCTGAAGTCGGACGCTTAACTAAGCCACCCAGGCACCCCCACAAATACTTTTTTAATTGAAGCATCACCAACTTACAATGTGACACTCGTTTCAGGTGTATGACATACTGATTCAGCAATTCTATACGGGACTTGGTGCTCGCCATGGTGGTACCAGGGGCAGTGAGCACCTAGGATTGGGATTATTACCTGCTCCGTTTCACAGCTAAGCTTGGAGTTCAAGAGGCTGTTAAGTGAAATTGTTTTTAGCCCACTCTCCATTGTATTTTCTAGTAAAATGGAATTTCACTGGCCTCTTAACAGAATTCTAGAGATGAGCCTGAAAAATGCAAGTCTTCGTAAGTAACGAAGAGTCTCCGAAAGATACATTCCCTCCCTCCACTAGGTGTGGAGGTAGGTGCCGTGTTGCATCAGAAAACTGAGCCAAGGGGCGCCTGGGTGGCGCAGTCGGTTAAGCGTCCGACTTCAACCAGGTCACGATCTCACGGTCCGTGAGTTCGAGCCCCGCGTCGGGCTCTGGGCTGATGGCTCAGAGCCTGGAGCCTGTTTCCGATTCTGTGGCTCCCTCTCTCTCTGCCCCTCGCCCGTTCATGCTCTGTCTCTCTCTGTCCCCCAAAAAATAAATAAACGTTGAAAAAAAAAAAACAAAAACAAAAAACTGGGCCAAATAATCCAGTTGGACAAGGTATCTTCCCTAAGAATCTCCATCGGCTTCTCCTGTGCAAAACCAAGACTTGCGTGAACGTTGGTAACTGGTTGTCAACTTTTTTCTGTTTTCTGCTAAAATAATCTGCTCTTGCAAGTGTTATTTGAACACAGGGACTTTGTAAGCCTTCCGAGACTTAAGAAATCGTTGCTACATCTCCTAAAAATTACCTCTGAAATCGACAGTCCTTCTGATTGGTTGCTGCTACAGGCTGAACTCTGTCCCCCTCACCCCTCCCAAAAAGGCTGCAGTCATACCTCCCAGTACTTTTGAATGTGACCTTATTTCCAAATAAGGAGGCAGAAGATGGAGTTAAAAGGACATCACTAGGGTGGGCCCTCATCCTACACAACAACAGGGTCCTCGTGTAGGATGTAGGACGGGGGCTCTTAGACACGGAGGGAGACAGACACATACAAATGCGAAGGCACAGAGAGAATGTCATCTGCAAGTCAAGGAACACCCGAGTCTACCAGAAGCTAGGAGAGACGCGAAGTCTCCCTCCCGGCCCTGGGAAGGAACCAAACCTGCTGGCACCTCGATCTTGGGACTTCTGGCTTCCAGAACTGTGACACGATACATTTCTGTTGTTGAAGCACCCCCCTGCCCCCGTTTGTTAGGGCAGCCCCAGGAAACGAATACAGCTGCCTTGAAAATAATGGAGCAATTACTAGATCTCCTTACCAGTCAGGTTTCTTAAATATAGAAGCACCAGGCACTTCTCCCGTGTGCACAATGGAAAAAGTAAAAACCCTCAAATAACTGGAGTCTGTTGCATCTAAACAGACAGCCAGGGGCGCCTGGGTGGCTCAGTCGGTTGAGCGTCTGACTCTTGATTTCGGCTCAGGTCGTGATCTCACGGTTGTGGGATCGAACCCCAGATCGAATCCCCCTGCCTGAGATTCTCTCTGCCTGTCCCCCGTGGCACTTTCTCTCTCAAAATAAACATTAAGCTGACAGCCCGGATCTGATTCCAAGCCGCGGGGTCTCCCATCACACCACAGCCACACGCAGGCACGGCATTAAGCAGAACTAACCGCTGATTTTTCTTCCGTGGTTAGCTTTTGCTCGCTTTCTATTGGCTGCTCTTTTCACTAATAATTTCTAAGTACGCTTTTAAAAATTAATGCCTTACGTGTTTTAAGTGTTGCAAATTTTTTCTCCCGATGTCATTTATCTTTTCATGTTTCAAATGGCATTATTTTCCATAGCCATTTGAACTGTTCATTAGGGCAAGTAGGTTAACTTTCTTTTGTGGTGTTTGAAGTTCATGCGTTGCTCGCAAAGGCTTTCTCCAACCCCAAATCACAAAAACCCTCCATTTCCCCCTCCCCCATATTTTTATAGTTTTGTGTTTTGCTGAAGAATCAGGCTTCACATTTCCCTGATGGATAGCTAATTGATCCAGCACCATTAACTGGATAGAACTCCTCCCCACAGATGTGGAATGTCGCTTTTATCACAAATTCTTTTTTTCCTTTTTTTTTTTTTGCATGTTAAATTTTTTTTCAACGTTCACTTATTTTTGAGAGAGAGCCAGTGTGATGCTGGCTTGAACCCACGAACTGCGCTGAACCGTGAGATCACGACCTGAGCCAAAGTCAGAGGCTCAACCAATGGAGCCACCCAGGTGCCCCATCACACATTCTTAAAGACACAGAGGTCGGTTTCCGGCCTGGATTCATCTTCTGACTTCACGGGCCAGTCTTTAGCAATGGGCCGGAAATGCACGTGCACGTATTCTGGGGCGCCCTCCCCACCACCCCAGGAAGACAGCGATGCCGTGGCTCACCTCACCTCTCACCCACACGAGTTGACCATGTGGCTCCTGGCTTGCGGGCAACTAGGAGGTAGTCGGTCGGTATGGGGGAGGGGCGGTAACATTAGAAAGCTCGGCCTCCCAGACGCCCCGGACAGGACAGGCCGAGTGACAAAGGGGCAACGGAGAGTGAGGTCCTGGCCAAAGACAGAGCAAGATCCCCCTCCCACCAAACATGCTGCAAAATGGTATCACCTCCTTTCTAGGGATAACGTGGCCTCCCTGGACACCCATCGCGGCAATGTTTAACCAGCAAAGGAACTGGGGAGGTCTCCGGCTTTCACATGAGGGGTGGGATCTGCTGGGGGACAACTCCCCCAGGGACAACTCCCACTTCGGTGTTCAGAGAAAGCCCCTTCACGCACATTGTCTCACGGGCTCTCACAAGCACCCAGTGTCTCCCCTCCTGCAGGCGGCGGTTGGTGCCGCCCCTCACGGAGGAACCTGGCACTAGGGGGTGAGCAGAATGGGCTTCGTTCGGATGGCTCCAGGCCATGCAGGAAGGGTGCCCGGGAGAATGACGACTTCAGGCCCCTCCTTCCCGGTACCCGTCTCTGCAGAATCTCCTGTTCCCACAACAAATCCTTACCGAACACCTCTGATGGGCTAGGGATTCGTCTGGGCCTTGGGAATACAGCAGAACACACATCCAGGGGATCTTCATTCTCTTCTGCCAGGCTGGCGATTCCTATTCTGAACCGTGACCCAGACTGGCCTTTGCTCCATTTTCTGGGTGGAGCCGTGACCTCCGGCCAACGTCTGCACTTTGCTCCCGTCTCCGGTTGCTTCCCTGGCTACTGGTCACTTCCTAGAACGCACTGACCTGCTCCAGACAGACACGCTTTTCTATTCTTGAGGCAGAGACCACTGGCAGATTCAGACCCAAATCCCAGCCATGCCTTAATTCTGACCTCTTAAAATAGGTTTCAGGCAGGTCACGGTTGCCTGCGCATGCCACTGTGACAGCAGGGGTGGCACACACAGTTCTTCTTGAAGCAGGAAATAGAGCTCAGATGCCGACGTGGCCGCTCTCCTCTTTTCTCACTACACCTTTTCCTCCGATGCCCCCACCTTTCGGGATGTTGTCTGAGGAGGGGGGCTCGGCAGAAGGAATACGTACTAGATGTTACGTAGGGCACCACACTTAAGACCCCATCGGTTCAGGTTCTGCAGGCAGAAATACTCTCCTACTGGCTGCTGTTGGTAGAACTGTGTCCCAAGAAAGGTATGTCCAAGTCCCAATCCCCAACACCCGTGAATTGGACCTCACTTGGACAAGGGGTCTTTGCAGATACAATTAAGGTGAGGATGTCGAGAGGAGATCATCCCTGATAGGGGAGGACCTGAAATCCAACGGCATGGGGTTGGTATGCCATGGTGTCCTCTTAAGAGACAGAAAAGGAGATCACAGAGAGACAGAGGGGGAAAGGCCAGGCGGAGCTCCACGTGGAGATGAGGCAGAGACTCGAGGAAGCCAAGGAACACGGAGGACTGCCAGTGGCCACCAGGGAGAGGAGAAAGGCACGGGACGGATTCTCTCCAAGCTTCGAAAAGCAACAAGCCCTGCCGACACCTTGATCTTGAACTTCTGGCCTCCGGAGTTGCCAAAGTGTATACTCCTGTTAAGCCGCTAAGTTTGTGGTCATTTGTTACGGACCCGGCCCGCTTTCCCCCTCGTTGCAAGCACTGCCGTGGACAACATGAGCGACTGTGGAGAGCGCAGCCTCCATGTTCCTTTCCCCGGGGAATTTGGTGACAGTTCTCAGATGGCTGGACAGCACCCAGCAGGCGCCCGTTCACCAGCAGAAGAGGCCTGGGGCCCCCTGTGAGGTGCTGGGCTCTGTAGGTTCCGGAGGCGTGGGATCGATGTCCTCATCCATATCAGATCTGTCTGCTCCCATCTCAGTCCTTTCTTCCTGCCTGATCCAAAGGCTGCTTTCTAGCTGTTTTTCCGCAATTTCCAGCTCTTCCTCTGTCTGTAAGACGGCCACGGTTTCGCGGGGTAAGTGTGAGGAGTACAGGCCGAGTTTGGCCTTACAGCCAAACATTGCTTCGTATGGACTTTGCTGCAAGGAAACGTCGAACACCTGATTCCTCGTCAGCTGCACAAATCGCAGGCCTTCGGCCCAGCGGCGTGAGCGGTGACTCTGCATCCAGGCACGTATCATGTTCTTGACGTCACGGCTTGCTCGCTCCAGGGAGCCCTGGCCTTGGCCAGGGCGGTGCTGACCACAGACGATCTTCAGCTCCGGCCATACCTCATTGAGCTCATTAACAACCTGGTTTGTGAACTCTACGCCGCTGTCAGATTCTAACACGCCAGGGGTACCGAGAATTGTGAAAATATCCAACAGGACACTGACCACCTCGTGGGCCTGTTTAGCTCTTAACGGTCGTAAGATGATAAACTTGGTCAAGTGGTCCTGGTAATACAAAATAAACTTGAACTCACCATCGGCATTTGACTGCATGTCAAGTACTTCAACTTGGCATCTGGAGTCGATGTCCTTAAAAGGCATGGGCTTGGGCGCAAGACCTCTCTTGGGCACTGGGTTCTTCTGGTGGCACTGTTTACAGAGTGTCAGATACAAGACAATGACTTCTTTGGTGACATTCCCATATTTTCCTTGTAGCTCCTTGAGCATCCGTGTCCGCCCACCGTGTCCAATATTGAGATGTGTGTCGTGAAGAATGTCAAACAACTCTTCCTTATGTACGTAATACCGTATTCGATCACGTTCCCTGTGAGCGGCCTCTATTAGCTTCTCCGTGCCTTGCACGGAGATCACGTCATATTTTGCTGCGCGGCGGTAGTCACGTGATGACTTCTTCCCCTTTTCCTTGGCTTCTTTGACTTCCTTTATTGTTTGAAAGTACTTTTCTTTGGAAAATACTTTGCTGTTATAACTTTTGCTTTCTACTAACTTTGTCACACTTGTAAGAAACTTTTCTCTCATGTTACTTATCTCCATTTCCGTTTCACTTGTGCTGGAAACACCAGGGGAGTCATTTCCAGCTTTCTGGGGCATCATGGAGAGCTGTAAGAAGGATCCTAGGAAAGGGAGAAAGAAACAGAGTTCGATTCACTGATATTCCATCTGGAAGACTTTCCCTCCAGAGTTCTGCATTCTTCCATCTGATATTTGAAGACAACTACATAGAAGAAAAGATAACACGATAATAGTACAAAGCAGTAACAGAAAAAGGCAACTAAAAAGCCAAGCAAGGGGCGCTTGGGTGGCTCAGTCGGTTAAGCGTCTGACTCTTGATTTCGGCTCAGGCCATGAACTCACAGTAGTGGGATCGAGCCCCACACTGGGCTCTGTGTTGTGCGTGGAGACTGCCTGAGATTCTCTCTCCCTCTCTCAAAATTAAAAAAAAATTAAAAAGCCAACGAAGACCATCCAAAACCAGGGCGTGTCAAAAGAATTTTACATCAGTAAGATATATACGCAAATATGGAGTAATTTTCGATTTCAGGCAAACAGAACAAATGAAACTGTTAGCTCATATGGGGAAACCTGATTAACTGGTCTTCATTAATTGAACAGGAGACAGGATACATGGAAATGCTTAAGGGCAGTGGACTAATACCTTCCTTCAATAGCTTTTTTTGTTTGTTTTTAAAAAACTTTTTATGTTTATTTATTTTGAGAGAGAGAGAGAGACAGAGTGCAAGCAGGGGATCAGCAGAGAAAGAGGGAGACACAGAATTCAAAGCAGGCCCCAGGCCCTGAGCTGTCAGCACAGAGCCTGACGTGGGGCTCGAACCCGTGAATCATGAGATCATGACCTGACCCGAAGTTGGACACTTAACCAACTAAGCCACCCAGGCGCCCCTCCCTCAGTAACTTTTAAAATAATATAAACAGGAGGGGCACCTGGGCGGCTCAGTCAGTTGAGCATCTGACTTCGGCTCAGGTCACGATCTCACAGTTTGTGGGTTCGAGTCCCGCATCAGGCTGTGTGCTGACAGCTCAGAGCCTGGAGCCTGCTCCAGATCCTGTGTCTCCGTCTCTCTCTGACCCTCCACGGCTTGCATTCTGTCCCTCTCTGTCTCTCAAAAATAAATAAATGTTAAAAAAAATTTTTTTTTTAAATAATATAAACAGGAGAACATTGCTAGAAGGTTATCACACGATAACAGCAAACTTTGAACTTGAAGTTCACGGCAGAGAGGGCTCTTCAGCCTTTCCACAATCAGCATAATCAGTTTCTTGTGGCCCAAGAGCCTGTCCTTGCTTTAGGAGAATTGAGACGAAGGTGGTAAGAAATTTTATGACGATGGTTTTCCCGTTGACCATACACAGGATTAGCGAATGAAGAGTCTGGGTCCTTACCCCGAGTGACCACATTCTCATAATTGTCCAGCATTGTGTCCCTGCACCCTTCAGCAGTCCTTCCAGAGGCTTCCAAACACCTTTAGTCTTCGGTCATACCCGCCAAAGGTCGCTACCTCTTGAGACAACGCCAGCTGCAGCCACAGGGACCATTCCTGGCAGCCACAGGGACCATTCCTGGCAGCCACATCAGGACTGGGGAAGGGAGAGTGGAGGGTACCTGGAATGAAGCCACGCCAGCATAAATGACTTGGCACGTGAGTCATGTGAATATTATATGGAAGATCCCGGAAATAAAGACAAGGTCTCCTATCCAACCACGTGAGTCCCGCTTCGTGGGTAAGAAAAAAAAGTTCTGTCCTCCTGGGAGGTCTGTAGGCCTGGGCTGTTTTGACATTGCCTGAGCTGAGAGCCACATATTTCCAGAAAAAAAAAAAAAAAACAACAGTGAGTCGAAATGAACCTGGGTGCTCCCAAGGCTGGGAGACACTTTCGGGGTACAGGCTTGATGGCTCTGAATTGAGGCAGCAGGGTGTTCCCAGAAATGGAAATATTATACGTTATGTACAGATTTGTCAGGAGAGTATCATGCCAAAAAGAGATACCCCAAACCGAGTCCACAGTCCACCAAGGTCGGAGAATTCCTCAGGGACAGAACTTGATACTCAGGTGTCTAAACCCAGATTCCTTAGCACAACTCCAGATGGTGGGATGGTGATGTGGCCGGGGGAAGAATTCATATGATGGTAACAGGAATCCCAACAGTCAGAGGAAAACAAGATCCCCAGGATCCCAGCCATCAAATGCAGAGCTGAGGGATAGGGCAGAATCCTGAAAAGCAGAGAAAGATGAAAAGGGTTCAGAGCTCTGAGCAAGGGTCTTAGCTGAGCTGAGGTCCTGAAGGTTCTCCACTAAAAAGGCTTCAAACTCCCTCGCTCAGCATCACTGGTTGACCGTGGAACATTCCCGATGCTAAGACATTACTGACGACAAAACCACTGCCTTACTCATGGCCTTCTTTTGAGCGGAAAAACAGAGAACCTTTATTAAATGAACACATCCAAATTAAAACATGTGGAAGACACACATTTTAGGAGTGAAGAAACAGAACGTTTGCAAGTGCTGTTTGAGTCTGAACTCAAGATCCTCAGTGTACGATGAGGTTCTAAAGGCTCTGAGAAGTTCTGCAGTAAAACAAAGTGTGCTTCATCTACCAGTCTCATTTAATCCCGGACATGGTGCTTTGTTTCTGAAGGAGGATCTGTTGTCATCTCACAGCCTTAGTGGTCCTTAGAACAGACCTGAAAACCGCAAGATATTCAACGGGATCCAGTAGAGTGCCTTCCAGAGTCCTCACTGAAACCAGCGTCTCTCTGAAATTGAGTGGCTGCACTGGCAGCTGTAGGAGGCCCTTCAGGGGACTGCAAAGGAAGGAAGGGCCTCATTTCCAGCTTGTAAAAGAAAGAAGACAGGCTGGAAACAATTTATAATCAAAAGATGCAAAATCTCAGTCTTTAATATGAGATACGGTCCTTACACTATAGCAGGAAATTCTGAGGCACAGCCCAAAAACCACATTTGGCTAACAGACCTACTTTGGTTAGTCTACCCAGTGTACTTTTTTTTTTTTTTTATATTAGAACGATTTACCTATACTTAGAGATTGGGGGATTTCACAGAAGCATCTTGACTGATGTGCTTGGGAAATGGGAAGATCTGGATACGCTGGGAACTTTGCTGCTTGGCAACAACTGGCTGGAGTGGAGACAGCAGCTCCCGTTAAACAGTCGGCACGCTCCTGTTTCTCAGGGTCCCTAAACCACCTGCTACCCTGTTCAGCTTACCTGCCCATCCCTGCGGCTATCTGGGTTTTCAACACCTGTTCCACGGCAGCATGAAAGGATTGTGTTCAGCTTCCCGGTGCGATCTGTGCCTGTTGGGGGGAAACTGATAAATGACCTTTGGTTAGAGAAAACTGGAAACACCTCCCTTCCTCACCCACCTGTGAGTCTTTGCTTTGGCGCCCCAGATCTGGAACGTCCTTTCACTGATCTTCCGGATCACCCCCAGCTCAAATCGGCCTGCTTCCCGATGCTTTCTGCAACTCCAGCTGATGGCCACGCCCCCTCCCTGGGGGCGGGGCACTCAGCGGAGCCCTTCGCTTTGTATTTGTAGCCACTGGTTCAGGTATACGCAACCTAGCAGGTAGGAGCTGGGCCACCCACCTAGCTGTTTTCGCTCGGAGGGCCAAGGAATACAAAGCCGAGACAAAAGATGCTCAAAGGACGTTTGCAAACACTTCCCGTCCGGGTGCAGCGGCGAGGCCCTGCAGAGGGAGGGCCAAGGGTGGCGGCGTGGGAATTCAATTTAGGACTCTACCACTCGCTGTGTGTCTGCCTCCGGCAGTTACTGAGGTTTCAGTGTCCTCCACCGTCACAGCGGAGGTGCCAGTTTCCGGATGAAGACTCGGCGGTAACGCCGGATAAAGCGCTAAGCCCAGTGTCCCCGCACCTTCCAACACGGACACTCCCCCTCCTCCTGGGACCTGGTTCGGGCACCACCTACCCCTGCGCGGCCTTCCTCCCCGCACTCCCGCGGGCTCCGCCCCTCCCGGGCCCGGCCGCGGACCCGCCCCGCCAACCCCGCGAGGCCAGAGGGGAGGACGGGACGCCCGGGCGGTGAGGGGTATATGCCTGGGGCCGCGGCGTGGGGGACCGCCCACCCCGCGTCCCGCCACGGTCTCGCCTCCCGCCCGCGCGTGCCCAGTCGGTCCCTCAAGCCGCTCTCCCCGGAAGCTGCTCCGCGCCGGCCGGAAGCCCCGCCCTTGACGCCGCGGGCCAGCCGGCACCCTTTCCACGCTCGGGAAGGGGGATCGTGAGGGTCCTGCCCCGCCTGTCGTTGGGAGGTGGCGGGGACTAGAGATACGCGAGGCCGGCATGCGCGTGACCTTGGCAGAACAAGCCACGGAGCCCGGTCCCCCGCGGCAAAACCGGTTATTTTCCCACGATGTTGCAAAGCCTGCAACTCGCGAAGTCAACTTGCAGTCAGCATTCTGAGTCCGGCAGCTTAATCTAAAATGAGGGCAGAGGCGTCCGTGTCTGCAGTGCCTCCACCTACTAACGTGGTCGCGAGAACCTGCGTTTCATTCAGATGGACAGCGCTTACGTCTAACTGTCTAACTGCAGCCCGAAGATTTGTCTCGTTAAACTCTGATATAATGGCCCCCTTCCGTGCGGCACCAGTGCATTCAAACAGGTTGGTAAAGGGGGCCCGCGGGCAGGCCAGGGATCCTGCAGCTTCTCACTGTAGGGGAACAGCCTGGGGCAGGGGACTGGGCGCTGCTGGGAAAGCCTAGCAGCTCCTGTCCTCCTGACAAGACTTTCAATCCAATGGCAATCTAACTTTCAGGAAAAAAAATTTAAAAATAGGCTACTACAACATAGACGTGCACATAGCATAACAGGAGACAGGTTCAAGAGGCAGGATCCCACATAGCTTCCTATCTAGGCCTTCTTCTCAATGAGCCATGATGTCCCCCAAATACTGCCTGCTGTAAAAATGAAGAGGGGCCCCGGGCTGGCTCAGTCCATGCAGAGTGACTATCTCAGGGCTGTGAGTTCCAGCCACATGCTGGGCATGGAGCCAACTCCAGGAAAGAAAAGAAAAAAAATCACTACCTTAGCAGTCCTGGTTTCAGAATATTGTTAAATCCCAGTTGTTAAAAGAACTGATGCTCACACGAAAAAACCCAAACAGTAAATCAAGCCACAAGATAGGGGCGGCCTGCCTCCAGATGGCAAATGCCACCTAACTTCCCTGAAAACGGGTCCCCTGTGAAGTAGGTAGGATCTCCAGGCACCACACAGAAAGTAAAGGCTCATCATTTTATCATTTTAACAGTTTTTATTTAAAGTTGAATATAAGATGACTTTATTCCTGCATCTTCTCAATTGTTTCTTCCTTATATTTGCCCTTTTCCTTTCCTACTTGGCGAGATTTGGCTTTGCGTTCAAGGATCTTTTTGCGGTCTTTGTCCAGTTTTAGTCTGGTGATAACCACCTGCAGAAAAACGGAAACATTTCTAAGCTTTAAATAGTTACTAGTTTCACAAGCTAACCATATGTAGTTTTGTTTCTATTATAACCTCAGAATCGTAAAGTTGGAAACGTAGCCCCCATTCACGCTTCAACCCACAAAATCATAGTACAGACCTTGTTTCAACAGATCTAATTGTTAAAGACCTCCAGGTTACGATAAATTTTAGTTTTATGAAGGAAGGTGAGGGAAAGGGGTAAAGGGCACTGAACCAGGTTTGCAAACACAGCACAATGACTGAAAAGACAATCTCTGCCCTCAGAGAGCTTGTATTTTAGTATGGGGAGAGAGAAAACAAATTAAGTGAATGTATATCAGACTCTGACATAGGGAAAAACCGGGCAACGTGGGGAGGCGAAGGAATGCTGGCAAACAGGCTAAGTCATAGGGTGGTCAAACAAGGCCCTACTGGTAAGACTCCATTCAAACAGACACTTGAAAACTTGAACACATTATGGTGAGAGAAGTCAGAGACCTGTACTGTCTGGCTCACGAACACGTGGAATTGTAAAATCAGAATAAAATGGTGGTCACCAAGGGATAGGAGACAGGATAGATGTTAAGGGTACAAAGTTACAAACAGTAACCCCCTGGAGATACAATGTACAGCACAGTGATCTCTACACAATACTGTATCATAATCACCAAACTTGCTAAGAGACTAGAACTTAGTTACTCCACTTACTAAAAAGGATAGCTACGCACCACACAGAGGTGCTCGTTATTGCTACAATGGCAATCATATTATATATAAAGCTATCAAACTAATAGCTCATACACCTTGAATTTACACATTCTGTCACATGTATTTTATTTTTTTAACGCTTATTTATTTTTGAGAGGGCACGTGCGAGCAGTGGAAAGGCAGAGAGAGGGAGCGAGAGAAGACCAAATGGGCTCTGAGCTGCCAGCTCAAACTCCCGAACCATGAGATCATGACCTGAGTTGAAATCAACAACTGGATGCTTAACCAACTGTGCCATCCAGACACCCAATAGATTCCAATAAAAAACAAAAAAGATAAACACCTGGAAAAAAAGGGGGTGAAGAGCGATTCTGGTGAAAGTACGGCAAGTCCAAAGGTCCAAAGGCAGAACTTAAAAGGTTTATACGTACATGTTTCTCAATCTTAAGCGTGTCTAAGAATCAACTGGAGAGCTTGTGAAAACAGATTAATGGTGCTGCCCCAGTAGACCTGGAACAGAATCTGGAACTCTGATCAGGCGGCCAGGTGATGCTGTTCACAGCGGACACGCCGTGAGCAGTTCGGCTGTACAAACAAGGAGGCCAGCAGACTAGATCACGAAGGGTGGACGTCTACACGCGGCTGCTGAGGGGATCGAGTAAGGTCTTAAAAGGCCACTCTGGGGCACCTGAGTGCGTCCGACTCTTGATTTAGGCTTGGGTCATGATCTTGTGGTTTGGGAGTTCTAGCCCCACACCGGGTTCTGCACGGACGGTGGGGAGCCTGCCTAGGATTCTCTCTCCCTCAAAATAAACACACTTCTATAAAAATTAAAAAAAAAAAAAAAAAAAGGCCACTCTGATGGGAACAGACAGGATTCTGGATAGAATAGACAGTAACTGACAGGGGGGTATAAAATAATAAATGACATTTTCATCCTGAGCAATTGGGAGGGTAGAGCTGCCCTACACGGCGATGGCGGCAAACTGTGAACCAAGCCAGAAGTTTGAACACATTAGGTCTGAGGTCATCAATCAGAAATCCAAGCTGAAATGCAAACTAGGCCACTGGACGCTGAGGTCTGGGTTGGAGTCACCTGCCTTTGTATGTGTGACGTCCCCAGGCGGAACTCAAGACAGGAAGGTGATCACTGCGCCACAGCGAGGAAGTGGGTATGTCCTCAGCTGTGCTACCTTGGAAAGACCAAGATTTCCTTACCTGGAATCCAGGTCTGCCTGCCTGCCTGCCTGCCAGAGTCGGCAGCAGCAAATACACGTGGCAAAGAACCCAACTCTTTCCCAAAGTTTAACAGTCCGGGTAGTCCTAGCGATCCTGTTCACCAGGAGGCAACCCAAAGTGTTTCTGAAAGAAACCCAGAGGTTTCTTTCCAGATGCACATATGACTGGCGAAGGTTAGAAAACGAGAAAGTCCTTGCTCTTAAGAGAACATGCGAGGATGGGTCAAGACGCTTGTAATCCACTGGGGGTATTGAAGAGGGGTAAAGAAAATGCGAGAAGATATTTATAGTGAATCCCAGGTAGGAATTTTACCACACCAGTCTTTCAACTTTCCTGTAGTTTGAAAAAGAGATTTATGGTGGCAACATAAAATGTTTCAAAAGAAAAAACACAAAACTGGGGAGCCATCAGTAGCTCAGTCAGTTAAGTGGCCGACTCTTGATTTCAGCTCAGGTCCTATCTCTGTGAGTTCGAGCCCCACGTCAGGCTCTTTGCTGCCAGTGCAGAGCCTGCTTGGAATTCTTTTTCCCTCTCTCTGCCCCTCCCTGGCTTGCTCTCTCTTAAAATAGCGATCAATCGGAGACTGCTGGATCAGAGAATTCACATCCAATTCCAGACAGGCACCTGTTATGGGTTATTAAGACTGGATTTTCTATCCTGGCTCAGACACGATCACCATCCAGGAGACCTTAGCTTCTGTACTCCAGTTTTCTTCCCCATTTGTAAATGTATGAAATCTCTGCACGGCTGTAAACTTGCCATACTGACTCCACTTTAATATGTAAAAACAAATAGGGGATCAGCTCCATTTAATCTAAAAATTACCCTATTTCCTAGCAGCGCCTGGATGGCTCAATCAGTTAAGCATCTGACTCTTGATTTCTGCTCAGGTCACCATCTCACCGTTCATGAGTTCGAGCCCCACACTGGGCTCTGCGGGGACAGTGCAGAGACTGCTTGGGATTCTCTGTCTCCCTCTCTCTCTCTGCCCCTCCCCTGCTCACTCTCTGTCTCAAAATAAACATTAAAAAATAAAATAAAAATAACCCATTTCTTGATTTTAAATTTTGTCGTCAGACTGATCAGTTTACTAATTGCTACTGACCAAAAGGTACATTAAATATACAAAATGACTGTTAAAAACAACTTGATCTTGGGGCGCCTGGGTGGTGCAGTCGGTTGAGCGTCCAACTTCAGCCAGGTCACGATCTCACGGTCCCTGAGTTCGAGCCCCGCGTCAGGCTCTGGGCTGATGGCTCAGAGCCTGGAGCCTGTGTCTCCCTCTCTCTCTGCCCCTCCCCCGTTCATGCTCTGTCTCTGTCCCCCAAAAAATAAATAAACGTTGAAACAAACAAACAAACAAACAAACAAAAAAACCAACTTGATCTCATAAAAATTTTTAGACTGGTTTCCAGGACTCCATTCAAATATGGTATTTGCCCTAAGACTGGTTTCTAGAACCTCTAAAATCAGGAGTCTATTTCTATGGGATTGCCCTGCAAACAAGCAGTCCCACCTGCCAACACTTGCTATAATTTCCTTCTCTCACGCATTCTCAGAAACACCCACCTTGCTGGGGTGGATGCCCACGTGGACAGTTGTGCCATTGGCCTTCTCTCGCTGCACTCGTTCAATGTAGATGACGTATTTCTTCCTGTAAACCTGGACTACTTTGCCAATCTGCTGACCTTTGTAGTGTCCTCGCACAACCTAAATACAAATTCACGGATGACAGAAATATTAAGAAAGTCAACCTTGCAAATCAGGAAAACTAAATCACGTAAATGTCATTTACTCTCTCAGATCTGCAAGACCCATCTTTCAGTTTTGAAAGATGTAACGGTTATTGGAAACATGGGAGTAATTCTCTCTGGCTTTAATTAGCCTGCAAATAAACCCTGCCCCCATATACGCCTTGTGATGGACAGTACGCCCATCAACTGATGGTCTGCAGCGGTGGGCTTGGTAGGTTAAAAACGAGTCCACTTAGGCTTTTTGTAGCTGGGTGACCACAAGGAACTTTACTCCGTTTCAGAGGAAGCGAGAGGCCACAAGATTTAATTCACAACCCAATAAAGTGTCCCACCCGGTCACAGAGTAGGCAGCAGCAAATACATGGGAAAAAACCCCAGTTCTTTCCCAAAGTTTAACAGCGTCCTACCCGGTAGCCCTAAGATCCTGTTCGCCAGGAAGCAACCCAAAGTGCTTCTGAAAGAAACCAGAGCTTTCTTTCCAGAAGCACATCTTCTCGCATGAAGACGATCTCAAAAACAGAGAAGACCACCTCCCAAATCTAGTGACAATTCTAGCACCAGCCCCGTAGCAACCAGGGGCTGTTTGCAACCTGCACCACTACTTGGGAACTGGCTTCATCTTTAAATGGGTATTAACCTCATCAAACAGTACGGGGGACAGGCGAGTTGCTTTAGAGACGGCCTAAAATCCTGCAATCGACAGCGGCATGTTCCAGCTAAATAACGTTCACAGAAACGTTCGCTTAAATAGATTTGGCAAGATATTCACCTGTAAATGTGAAACCACCAGAGAAGACTACGGTCCAGTTACAGCTTCTGTATCTGGACCCTCGACAGCCTCTTCAATGACCAAACGCACCAAGAAAAAGAGAACCGCGGGGTAGCGCTCTGGTTCCGAACCACCTTTCCGCTTTCTGATACTTGGGGCAATTGCTGTTTTTTTTCCTGTTTGGGCTCTTAGTGCCCTTGTGCAATCCTGCTCTGGGGAGCACGGTCTCAAGTGCATCTTTCTCAGCAGATGATCCCTCTTCTATGCCAGGTGTGGGGGTATCTGCCAAGACACCCGGGCACAGCACATACCTGTACTTCGTCGTCCTTCCGGATGGGCATGGATCGAACGTTGTACTTCTGTCGTAGCTCTTTGGAAAGAGGGGAGGACATAATCTTCCTGCGAATGTGCGAAGGTGCATTGAAATGCCTTTTACGGTTCTTGCTCCGATCGGAGGTCACAAACGGATTGAACTTCATGTTGGCTAAAGACAGAGTGAAAAGAGGCGTAAACCCTTAAATGCTCAAAATCTCATTCAGCGTCCCAACAAGTGACATTCCAACAATTTCATCTTGAAGGTTCAGAAGCCCACAGAAACTGTCGTGCTTTCTATGTTCGTTTATGGGACAAAGAGTTGTTGTTTTCTTTTTTAAACGTTTACTCATTTTTGCAAGACAGAGCGCAAGCCGGGGAGAGGGAGACACAGGATCCCAAGCAGGCTCCAGGCTTTGAGCTGTCAGCACAGAGCCCCACGCGGGGATCAAACCCACTAGCCTTGAGATCATGACCTGAGCCCCAGTCGCTTAGCCTACTGAGTCACCCAGGCGCCCCCGACAAACAATTTTCCATTCGTAACAGACTTGTTTTAGTTCTTAAGCTTTTATTTTAGTTCACAGCCTCCAAGCACCTGAAATATCGGGTAAGGAACTTAAAACAGGACTTGTATCTCTGATGAAGGCAAAGCGGTCCGACAACTCAATTACAACACTACGCTTTACAAAGACCAACCAAAGCCAATACCCTACGGACTCGGACGTGAACACATTTAGCTCCGTTCTCCCCAAACCTGGGAAACGCTGCACATCTCGGGTCCAAGAAAACCTTCTAATGAGCGCGGCCTGCAAGTTCCCTGGCTTTGCCAAAGTTATTTCGAGGCTCTTCTTTAAGGAACGACACTGAATAGACTTGAACCATCTGCGCAGAACCCCTCCTCTCCGGGCTCCGATTCCGAGTTCCCAAACCCCTCTCCTCCCTTCCCGAGTCGGCCGCCCCTGGAATTAAGAGGAAGACAGGCTGGGGACCATCCTAGCCCCTCTCCCTCGGCGCTACTCGTTCGCCGGGAGAGTATCGGGCCCCTAGGGCCAAAAGACAGCACACCCGCGAACGGATGGCTACGGATTGCTCGCGCTCGGCCAGCGAAAACTCACCCGCTGCAGCTCCAGCGATGGCCGCAAAAGGGAAGAGAGCTACACGCTACTTCCGGTTCTGTAAGTTTATGAGAGATCTCGCGAGACCGATCGTCTCTTGGCGCGAGAGAGGCGCTGGGTTTGAACGAGAAGAGGAAACTGGGAAAGAGATTGGTGACTAGTGTCCCCCAGCGGCTAGGAGGGGAACTGCTAGGACCTGCAACACTGCCCTCTCCGTGGCCTGGTGTCTCCCGGGGTAGGTTTGGGTTCTGCAGCGGCTTTCTCTGGGAAGGCTAGTTCCTGGGCGGGGGGCGGGGATTGCTCAGGGTGTGACTGTCCCCGTGAGTGGTGAGGGAGCGGGCGGCCCATTAGCCAGGTGGCCACTGGCGACCTCGGTTCCGTGGACACCGCCAAGGCTTCCCGGGCCCGTGGCGCCGGCGTGCCGAGCTCGCCGGTCCTTTAATGGGCTCCATCCGGCGTGTGCTGCCGGCGCCGTGGGGCGCTCCGACCCGCCACGGACCTTGCAAGGGCTGGGACCCGCGATCCGTCCCCGCCCAGCGCAACGAGATTGAACCTGAGTTTCTAACGAGCTCGAAGGTGATGCCACGGGGTGCCGGTCCACACTTGCAAGGAGGCCTTTGCAAGCGGAACGCTGTGCCCCTTTCTGAATTGTACTGCATGCTGTCTTTCGGTTCAGGGTCTGATGGAGGCAGGGCGAGAGGGTGCCCTCCCCAGCAAACGGATTCTGGGGCAGGCTGCAGTTGGGGTGTGTGTGTGTGTGTGTGTGTGTGCTCCCGCAGGGTGAGATCCCGCAGGGGATTGGTTTCTGTTGAATGAGTAATGCATTGTCATTGAATGAATGATGCAACGTCCAGAAGACATGCATTTCATAATAATTCCTGAGACATAGTGAGCTTGCGTGAGCTTGCGGAGCACTGGAAACGCTCTTCTCCTTTTCACGTTAACTCCTTTCATCCACCAAATAGCCTTGTGAGGCTGGTACAGTATTATTGTTCCCATTGTACAGATGGGGCCATTGAGCCACAGAGAAGTGGGAGGAGCTTGTACGCGTTTTGTAGAACCCATAGGTTATGGTGGGACCCGTGTAGGTGCTCCCCAGTCCCTTCCCTATATGGTCCCAATTTCTAGGACTCCATTTGGTCGAGTCAAAGAGCAAGAAACCGTGTCCTTGAGGGGCCAGGGTAGAATCAGTAAAGAACCTGTGTTTTCGTGATTTAAGAAAAGTTGTGCTTGAAATATGCTGTAAGGTAAACAGCCCCAGATTTTTCTAACTGAAAGATTCAGGTAGAGTATCTCTACTACAATTCTTTTTTTTTTTTTTTTTTTTTTTTTAAGTAAACTCTGCATCCAACCTGGAGCTTGAACCCATGACCACAGATCAAGGGGCACATGCCCTACCAACTAAGCCATCCAGGAGCCCCCACAATTCTTTTCAACAAATGTTTATGGAGCATCTTTTGCAAGCCATCCCTAAAAGGGACACTGGAGCTACAGAATGCAATTAGCCAAACCTTCTGCCTGCAGGAAGCTCACTGTCTCAGAGGAGAGAGAAACAGCGAAACCCCGCAATCACGGGACCCCAGGAAAAGTGCTGGTTGAGCCAGCCACCCTTTGTGTGCTCCGGGAATAGGACAGAGCTCTGGGGTCAGGGAAGACTTCTGGGGTGAGATCACCCTTGGCTGAGTTTTGGAGAATGTTAAAATTAGCTCCACGAAGCAGTGGGAATAGCTGGAGGGGAGGCTTGGAGGTGTGAAGCAGCATGATGTACTGTCTCCAAGAGCCAGGTCCTGGTGGCTGTAGTGAAGACACCTTCAGAGAAAAGCCCATGGGGCTCCGGGGCTGAGCTGAATTTGATCTGGTGGCTGAAAGTTACAGCCGAAGCCTTCCTACTTTGCCTTCCTTTCTGATCTTCATGGACTCACCTTAACTCTCTCTCCTTGTTCTTAGGAGTTTCCTTAACCCCCTCTTCTTAAGGTCTCGCCTAACCTCTTCCTCTCTTCCCACAAAGGCCTCTTCTGTTTCCTCTTCCTCCCCATCACTCACTGCTGACACCCTTCCCTCCAAGGCCTCCTTACCACCACCCTCCCTCCGCCGCCGTGCACAACACTGACTCATGGATATTAAACCTTCAGGCCACCATTTGGACAGCATAACCACTTTATACGGCGTGAAGAATGCCAGGGTACAAATTGTGTGCACAGATGCAAATTACTGGTAGCCTGGTTGAGAGTCTGTTTATCCGCATAAATGTCTTGGCTCCTCCCTGCACGAGAGTCCGGGCACCTCGCCTGACTGCCCGCCCCCCACCTTCCTTACGTGCCTCTAACTTGATTTGAAAAAGTTCCTTTAAAAAAGTTTTTTTAATATATTTTTTTAAGATTTTGTTTTTATTTATTTTTATTTTTTAATTTTATTTTTTAAAATTCACATCCAAATTAGTTAGCATATAGTGTTTAATATTTATTTTTGAGAGAGAGAGAGAGAGAGAGAGAGAGAGAGAGAGAATGAGTGGGGGAGGGGCATAGAGCAAGAGAGACACAGAATCCAAAGCAGGTTCCAGGTTCTGAGCTGTCAGCACAGAGCCTGATGTGGGGCTCGAACTCACACACCGCGAGACCATGCCCTGAGCTGAAGTTGGACACTCAACTGACTGAGCCATCCAGACACCCTGAAAAAGTTCCTTTTAAACTGACTCTTTTGGGTCCTTTTGAAACCAGTCTTTGTGAAGTCCTAAGTCAAACCAGCTATCCAGACTCCACACCTAAGTCCCTTGGACTAAAACTTTTTTAGTCCTTAGACACCTAACCATCCCATTTATCCCTTCCTTCCTTCCTTCCTTCCTTCCTTCCTTCCTTCCTTCCTTCCTGATTGCCTGCCTTCACTTATACATTCTTCAAATATTTCTCTAACTCTTACTCTTTACCAACTCCTATGCCAGGCACTGAGATACAAAGATCAGTAAGACTGGGCACCTGGGTGGCTCAGTCGTTAAGCATCTGATTTAGGCTCAAGTCATGATCTCACAGTTTGTGAGTTCAAGTCCCACATCGGGTGAGCCTCAATTCTTTCTCTCTCTCTCTCTCTCTCTCTCTCATTCTCTCTCTCTCTCCAGCTGCCCACCCCCCCCCCCCGCTCAATTGTGAGCTCTCTCTCTCTCAAAAAGAAAAAAAAATCAGTAAGATCTAGCCTCCCCTCAAGGAGCATACCGTCTAGAAGGAAGAAATGGTGAAATGGCCATGTCAACAAACAGGCATAATAAAGTGTGCCTGGAAAGGTAATGGGGTGCAGTCGATTCTAACTGAGGTTGGGCTCAGGGGAGTCTTCACAGGTAACCCTTGGATTATTTCTGGAAGGCTAGGTAGGAGTTCTCCTGGGAGACAAGGGTGGGGAAGTATTTTCCAGGCAGAGGGAACCACCCAAGCAAAGCCCAGAGCCTTGCGCCCAACACCATTTGTTGGAACTGCCAATAGTGTGTTGAGAATTAGTTGTGGTGTTCATTTGCACCAGGTAAAAGGAGGATGAGGGAGAGTGTGGGGATGGGGCAAGGTTATTTGGGGGCCAAAAGAGGACGTCTGGGCTGATAAGGAAGTCAGAGAGAGAAGCGAGGTGAGCCACAGGGCTGTCTGAGTCATTGCAGGCTTTGCCAAAGGTAGAGGTCATGGGAGGGTGTCTCAGGAGTGCAGAGGTGCTATGTGCCCAGGCTCCTGGCATCCGTGGCCTGGGTTTTCACTAGAAATAGATGGATCCTTAAGCTTGCTTGGTAGGGCTAGACTCTGCAGGTATATGTTAAAATTAAAAGGGTTTTGGGTTGTTGTTTTTTTTTGCACGAGTCTTAAATTTTATTAATGCTTTCAGTTTGTGTGTCGTTTAAGACAAGATATGTGCTTTAAAAAGCATTCTTTTTTAAAGTTTATTTATTTTGAGAGAGAGAGGGAGAGAGAGAATCCCAACCAGGCTCTGCCCTGTCAGCTCATGAACCCATGATGAGCTCGATCCCATGAACCCTGAGATCATGACCTGAGCTGAGATCAAGAGTTGGAAGCTTAACTGACTGAGCCACCCAGGTGCCCCTAAAGAGCATTCTTATACATCCGGCTTTGGCTCAGGTCATGATCTCCCAGTCCATGAGTTCGAGCCCCACGTCAGGCTCTGTGCTGACAGCTCGGAGCCTGAAGCCTGCTTCGGATTCTGTGTCTCCCTCTCTCTCTCTCTCTGCCCCTCCCCTGCTCGTGTTCTCTCTCTCTCTCTCTCTCTCTCTCTCTCTCTCTCTCTCTAAAAAATGAATAAACATTAAAAGCAAAAGACATTTGGAAAGTATTATTCGGGAATGCCAAATGTTTTCCTGGAAGAACTGTGGTTTCCAATAGGAAATGCTGATGAAATTAAAAGCCATCGGTGTTGGTAAAGAAGACCAAGAAAGGTTTGCACTAGGATCTAGTTCGAGAGGAGTTTCTGCAGAGAGTGGACTCCTACCGGCACAGCTGGCTGCCAGTCTGGGCCTTGGTGGCAGAGGCCCTGGCCCGGCGATTCCAGGTGGACCTGGAATCTGGGCTGTCCCCCCCGGTGACCGTCGCCTTTGTTATCTACACGGACCAGGCTGGACAGCGGCGGGTACAGTGTGTGCCCAGGGAGCCCCACTCATTCCAGAGCCGGCTGCCCCTGCCAGAGCCATGGTGGGGACTTCGGGATGAGGCCCTAGCCCAGATCAGCGGGATCCCTGGCTGCATCTTGGTCCACACCAGCGGCTTCACTGGTGGGCACCACACCCGAGAGGGTGCCTTGAGCCTGGCCCGTGCCACCCTGGCCCAGCGCCCAGTGCCGATGCCTCCCACAAATCCCCTACCCCGATACAATGCCATCTGTCTCATAAAAAAGAAAAATTGTGTGGGACCACAGAGAAGGGCTCCTGTGGGCCTCCGGTACAGGTCGAGTAGATGAAATCACATAGCATGAATCAAAAGGTTGAGATGGGAGAGAGTTAGCGTGAGCCAGATGACGTGACACATTTTTTTTTTTTTGTCAAGGCACGTGACTAGGATTACACAGGTGGCCAGCTCGTGTAGACTGCTTTGCTGTTTCATTTGGAAGATAGCCAAATGTAATATAATTTCCATGTATTGGCATTGATTGATGAATATGTGCTATTAGATTAGGGCATTTAGATTTAGGTGGCCAAGTTGTGTGTGCATGCGTGTGCGTGCGTGCGTGTGTGTGTGTGTGTGTGTGTGTGTGTGTGTAAGGGGCACGCCCCTGGACAAGGGAAGGTAGGGAGGAGGAACAGCTCATGTTTAATCCCAGGCATCCATTGGTCTGTCTGTCCATCTCTTTATTTATCTAATGGTATCTCTCTGACCTCAGGGTGGTTTACTCAAAGCCAAAGCTTTTCACTTGACGAAAGGAAGGGTAGAGAAAAATCAAAACAAGCATAGTAAATGATCCGGCCCAAAGAAGTCCATAGGAGCTAAGAAACACTGAGTCAAATATTAAGCTTCTTACCTTCCTTCCTGGCGTGCTCGTTCAGCATAAGATGTCACACCTCTAAGCAGACAAACCAGCCCCACTGAGCCATAGCTGACACCCTTGAGCCACAGGACAGGTAGTCCAGCAGCTCTCAAATGTTTTGGGGGCCAGCTCCTCACGGGGCAACAGGTATGTACACTGAAGATATCTTTGGCATCTAATATCATTTTTAAAAAAAGATTAAAAAAAATTTGAAGTGTTTTATTACTTATTTTTGAGGGAGAGAGAGAGAGAGAGAGAGAGAGAGAGAGAGAGAGAGCATGAGTGGGGGAAGGACAGGAGACACAGAATCCAAAGCAGGCTCCGGGCTCCGAGCCATCAGCACAGAGCCCGATGCGGGGCTCAAACTCACAAACCATGAGATCATGACCCGAGCCAAAGTCAGATGCTCAATCAACGGAGCCAGCCAGGCACCCCTGTACTAACATTTTTCAATCTAATTCTTGAATAAGTACTATGTTTGCTTGGTTCAAAAAATATCAAAGGGGGAGGGGGAAATCTCCCCAGGCCCCTACTGATTGTCACGTAGAGTTTTTCCAATCCTTTGTGATGACAAAGTTGCAATTATAGAACACTGCCTATCTCCGCAAGTCTATCTACAGGATATGTTTCTAGAATAGGACTTGCTGGGTCAAAGTGGAAATTTTGATAGGTGATGTCAAATTTCCCTTCCTAGGGTTTGTTACCAATATACATCCCCAACCACCTCACCTGCTTTCCCTCAGCTTGGGCAGCAGAGCGGGTTTTAAATCAGGGTCTGAGGGGCACCTGGGCGGCTCAGTCGGTTGAGCGTCCAACTTTGGCTCAGGTCATGATCTCGTAGTCTGTGGGTTCAAGCCCCACTTCAGGCTCTGAGCTATTCTGTGTCTCCCACTCTCTCTGTCCCTCCCCCACTCGCACCCTGTCTGTTTGTCTCTCTCTCAAAAAGTAAATAAACATAATTTTTTTTTAATCAGGGTTTGACGGGCTAATAGGTGAAAAATGGTATATATACCAGCAGAATTTTAATTTGCATTTCTATCACAAGTGTGGCTGTTTTTAAAGACCCATTTGCCTTTGTATTGTCTTTTTTTTTTTAATTTCTTTAAACATTTATTTATTTTTATCCGAAACAGGCTCCAGGCTCTGAGCTGTCAGCACAGAGCCCGACGCGGGGCCCGAACCCACGGACCGCGAGATCATGACCTGAGCCGAAGTCAGCCGCTTAACCGACTGAGCCACCCAGGTGCCCCCTTTTTTTTTTTTTTAATTTTTTTTTAACATTTATTTATTTTTATCCGAAACAGGCTACCTTTGTATTTTCAAACTCTTTCGTCTAAAGAGAATTTTCCCAGAAAGTCCAAGCTCAGAGCTCCCCGTGGGTGTTGGCAATGTCTTTGGAATCTTTGGGAAAATATATACCTTTATTTAAAAAATAACTTTCGGCGTTCTTTGAAAATAAAAGAAGTGCCAGCTATGAGTCACCACTGAATGAATGACATGAAAACACCACAGGTTTTTTGAAATTAGCCTTTGGCAAGCACAACAGAATCTGAAAAGACTAGAGTCAAGTCCCCAGAAATTCAATGACACTGTTGAAAGCAGTCTGACCGAGCTTAAATAAAACAGACTCATTAGAGTTTTTGTAAATTTGGCATTTTGAGTCTTGTAATAAATATGTTCCCCATGAATCCACCTGTTCCCTACCCCCCCCCCCCCCCCCGCCCCCACAAATAGCACCTGTGCTCTTTTTGAGTCTGGAAAGGAGCAAAGAGAAGTCCATAAGTGTTTTCAATCAGCCCTCCCTGCTTCCCAAATATCCCCTACACAGAGGAGCCCTTCCCTGGCGGTCCCCTAA